TTCCCATGCAGGGCTTTAGACTCTGGAGATACTACCCAAGGTTTAAACGACTCCCCTGCTCCCACCAGCGATGTTTTTATTAAGACCCTGCACTCTGGGATTTGCCTGAGTGTGTGAAGGTCCATAACTGACACTTCTTCTGTGTAGGAACATTTCAGGCTTTTTGGTTTTTGCTACTTGAATACCCCTTCACCCACATTCCCCCCTTTTAAGCTCCACTTACTTTCCTGGGATTTGACACCTCCCAGCCATGCATCAGGTGCTGTGGCTAACAGCTACTGCATGGGGGTTGCTTTCTCCCTCTCCCAAGAGGCAGAACTGCATGCACTGTAGAGCCTTGTAGTTTGGTGTTAAACATCTGGGTTGAGCAGAATGGAGGAGTCTGCCTGGCACTTGGAAGAGATGATTCTTGTTAGGATCTTGAATTCATTGTGGCATTCTCATATGCATGTAGACAGACCCCTGGGAAAGCTCCATCCTTTGCACAGAAGGGCTTTGCCCTCCTGACAGCAGGGCTCATGGTCCTTGCTCTGGAACTTTAGACAATCTGTTATTGGTGTCAGCCGATGAAGACCAGTAGAGTCCCCACTAAGAGCAGAATCAGGCCCTGGGTATGGATTCACACACTGGTACCATCAGAAAAATGAGCCCAGCCTTAAAAAAACACTGATGTGGAGCAAAAAAATCCTTGTCACACAACACTGGCAATGCTACCATCCCCTGGGATATTAGAGACCTGGGCCCATGCAAAAACCTTGGATCCAACCCAACCGTAAGGCTAGGGAGAGCTGACTCCAGATCCATCACAGCTCCATGCCATGTGTTTATGGACACCCATCATCAAGGCTGAGTTGTAGACATCTGCATCGAGTCTAGACCTTGCCTGCTTAGTAATTACAACCCTGGCCAAGGAGGGAATAACCATCCTCAACTTGCAATAGTTTGTGGATGTGACATTAGGCAAGCCAGTCAACCTGTTCCTGTGCCTGTCTGCCTCCTAAAGTAATAGCCCAGGGGGCTAAACCCCTTGAGTGTCTCCGGTCCGGATGTCTTCTGTCCCTGATCATCACCCCAAAGCACTTAACAAATGCACATGATTGCTAGATACAGAAGTAGCTTCTCCCAGCAGGGATGTGCAGCCCCCCTGTGGCAGAACCCAGAAGCAACATCCAGGTGAGTTATCAGCCAGATCTAGTAAGCCAGCCAAGCACGCTTCAACTCTTCTGGAGGCCTTTCATGAACTGCTTGTAGACAGGAGTCAGTCCACCCATCACTGAGATGCTACCTCCAGGGTGGCAGTGGCCAGCAGTTTAACAACAGTGAAGCAGTGTGATGAATTGAAAAGTGAGGGAAGGAAAACACTTTATGCAACTGAAAAGAAATAGCCATTTGGACAATTACATACATTCAATGTCTGAACTTGGAAGTCGGCAAGGATCAGCACTGTTCCCTTTGCAAAGTGTGCCACAAGATCACCAGTGACCAAACCTCAGGCTTCACTCTTTGGAAAGAAGAGCAGGACTCTCATAGCATATTGAGGGCTTCAGTTCAGGAGCAAGCTGGGGGACATCCACCAAGCACAAATAATGTGGTTCTTGGCCTGTCTCCTATCAACATGAGTCAGCCTAATGCTGCTTTGCTTCTAAGGTTCCCAAAGCAGCACAACACAGTGCAGCACTCAAAGCTGCTCCCATCCCCCTCTCTTAACTTTCAGGAATTTCCTTTGCTGTTGCATTTGACTCTGCAAAAATTTGATTAGACACCGGAGTGGTTTAAATATTGGGATTATTTTATTGAGCACCTGCCCATAGCTGGGCCCCTGCAGGGGCATCCCTCAAGCCGTGGCTTTCCGTTTCCTGCCCCGCTGGGCTGGTTTGCTGGACCTGGAAGGTGCTTGCTTGGATGTTTTTCTGCTTCCAGATTTCTTCTTCTTCTTGGCAGTAACTTTATTCTTTCTCTCTTTGCTCCTCTTGCCGGAGTGGAAGGAGCCAGAGTCATCAGGCCCTGTCATCTGCTTCAGAAGCCCCTTGGAGACCAGACCCTTGAGGACCCTCAGGAAGTGGGTCTTGTTTCTCATCACATCATAGCCAGCCTTGGTGACAATCTTCTTCAGGGTTTCCAGTGAGAGCCCCTGGCAGTTTGGAGAGGTTGCCACAGCCCAGAGGATGAGTTCGGAGACGCTGGGGCTGGCATTCTTGGAGGCAGTGGGCTGCAGGTCTGCATTTGAATCAGAAATGCCCGCCTCTGAAGAAGAGCCTTCACATGGCTCACAGAGACTGGTCATGCTGGTGCCTGAGAACTCTGTTTATACCTATTGATTCCTGGTCTAAGGGGCTTTTCCTTCAGATCCGAGCCACTCTCTCACTACACTCCTGGCCACCTTCTCCTGTCTTTTTTTCTGGCTCAGTGAGTGGCTCCAATAGCTGGGCCACAGCTCTGTTCTTGGCTTTCTTTCCTCACTCGGCTCAGCCCCCACAGCCTGTCTGAAAGTACAGGCCAAGTCCCACCTCTTGCTGGTGCCCCCAGACCAGGGCGATAAAAGCAGCCCAGAGGGGAGGTGTTGGTTAAGATTCCTCTCCACAAGCATGCCAGTTAATGCCCATCACACATCACAGCGCTTGTACCTCACAGCTCAGCTCAGTGGATGTCCTTCCCCACCCACCAACTCTTGGGAAAGCCTTGTCCAGTTCCTCAGCTGAATTCTAGGCAACTCCCCCTATTCGCGTTGTCCAGGTCCTTGTGTGGAGGATGCTGGGCAAGTAGTGGTGAGCCACATGGCAAGGCCCAACCCAAATGCTGTCATAGTCTAGTGCCATGGCAACAGAGCTTGGTACACTGTGATGTCAGAGGAGCCCTCATGATGTGTGTGCATGTGGGTCTGCAGCCTCCTTTCCCATGCTGCATACAAAGGGCATGAACTACTGTTATAACAAAGTACATAGTTTTTAAGCTCACACCAGCCCCTTTATGTTAGTATAAGTTTTGCATTGATTTCAGAGGATCAAGGATTTCACTATACATGGGGTGTGATGGGGAGCAGAATGCAAAGCTAGTGGGAAGGAAGAGCCAACCCTTCATCCCAGGATTGTGCAGCACCTACTACTTTGTGGTGCTGCCCTAGACTGGTGTTTCTAGGCCCTACCCCAGTGCACATGTAAATGAGTTTTGTGCTGCAAGCAAACAAGTGCCTGTATGTTTGCCAGTCTGTGGAAGATTTTGTGTGCATGTAAATGTGTGTGCAAATAGTGCATGCAAGTGTGTACACACATCAGCTTGCTACCTGAGGGGGATCCATTGCTGTCCTGGCTCCCAGCTCTCTCCTCCCCCATGGGCTGGAGTTCCTGTGCTCTGATGAGCTGCTACTCCATTCACCCCCGAGACAGGAACTGGAGATTAGTGATGGTCACTCCCTTAGGCACCGATGAAAACCCCAGATGGACTGGACACACCTTGTTCCCCTTCCATCTCTCAGGAGGTAACCGGGGATCCATGGATGTTTTAGCCTGATGCTTCAGTGCTGCCAATTGTGGTGGGGTCCAGCAGCTGCATCCCTACACTTTCTCTTGCTGTGCTGCCCCCTTTCCCAGCACCAGGGTACTGAGGCTCCTCAAAGGTGCTAGCCACTTACAAACTTGGTACCCCCTGGGAGACTGGAGTTCCCCTTGGAGCTGCTCCCATGCACAGACATGGCTCCAGGGCTGTGTTTTGGAAAGAACCAGTGTCATCATAAGGAGCAGTCAGGCAGCAGGAGTGTGACATGGACCCCAGAGGCCTCTGTCAGGCAGGCCCAGCCCCTCCATCCCTTCCTTGTGGCACTGGCTGATCCCACAGGACGGTGCAAGCTCCTAGGGCCTCATGCTTAGGCTGTGCCCGTGCCCTGAATCCCCGCAGTGAGGCAGTGCCCTCGCCTGCTGCCTGGGCTGTTCCTTTTTCATTATTTTCTTTGAGCAGGGCCAGACCCTGGGAGGAGGCACTGGGTAGGGAAGGAGGGAAGCTCCTCCTAGTCTGCTCCTCCCCAGGCAGGGGTGGCAGGGAAGCAGCCCTGCATTTCTTTGCTGATTGCTTCTGCCTGTAACAGCCAACACCAGTTCCATTACCCCTTTGTAAGCCACCACAAATAAACCTACACGTACTGTTTTTCAATCCTTTATTAACCTTCCTAAGCCATTTAGTGACATAGCCTTAACACAAGTCATGGCAGTAGTTATTCCTAGTTGGGGTGTATTAGGGCAGGGAGGAAGAGTCAGGATCCATCCAGCCCCTTCCCCAGGTGTCTCTCTACCCCAGGGTGACTGAACACCAGTCAGGTGTTGACCAGGCTTGACCACCCTCCTGTCTGTCAGCATCCAGATGGTGCACCACAACACAATCCATGGCAACACGGAGGAGCTGAGGCACATGGCCAGCAGCAGGGAGGTGCCGCAGCCCCTCTCCACCCTGCCCATGTTCAATGTGCGCACAGGCGAGAGTATCAACCCCATGCAGCGGCGCTACGACAGTGCCCACGTCCCGCTTATCCTGGACCAGAAGTGAGTGCCCCTCGGGTGGGACTAGCCTGGGTCTGGCTGGACCAATATGGTTGGTGAACAGCAGTCTTAGCCTGGGGTAGGTCTCAGTTTTTCCCCTGCCAGAGTCAAATTTATTGAGCAGGTTGTAAAGCAAGGAGAATGAGTCTGAGGGCATCATTGCACCAGGAGCCCTTTATACCCATGGAGCAAGGTGGAAGGGCTGCCAGGGAAAAGCTGTCTGGGGGCATGGGACCCAACACAGCCACCTCTAGCAGAAGGGGGAGGGAGCCTGCCCAGAGCAGACTAATACCCCAGAGAGGACCACTGTGGCAGCCTCTGGGACCGAGTCCCTGGCCTCTCTGCTGGGTACAGTGGAGGGGACAGACGTCAGTGCTCCTGAAGGCTTCTGACTAGAACAGGTGAGACGTCTGAGCACAGAGGATATGCAAGAGCTTTCCCCTTAACCAAGCCGTGGTTGCCTAGTGATTAGAGTACATGCCTTGGACTCAGGGGCCTTATAGCTTGTCTACACTGGGGCCCTCAGAAGCTGTCCTGAATTAGCATTTCAAGTGAGTGGTTGAATTAAACTTTGTTCAATGCCTGTGCAGGCACTTTTATTCTAAACTAATTCACAGGGCATTGGGCCTGGCTTAATTCTGAGTAAGAGCATCTCCATGGGGATTCGGCACAGGTTAACCAGTGCAGTCTCCCATGCATTCACACCAGCTTCTCTGGGTGTTGCCGTGGAGACAGGCACTCTGTTACCCATCGGGCAGGGTAGAGGCTCCCTCCCAGCTCAGCGGTCCCCGGAGGTGAATGTTGTCTAACTCTGAAGCATTATTAACATGCATAACGATTAAATGCCTCCTTCCTCTTTCTCCCAGGTAAAGGCCAGACCAGGTGTTTGTTCGCCTCTGAGTGACTCTGTGTGCAGCGGTGAAGCCCTCTTATGGTTGGGAAGAACAGGGGGACCTGGGAAGAAAGTGTGGGGGAGGGCAGGATCTTGATTTTTGTAGTATGAGAACTAGAGTAACAGGTTTGAAACAGAGAGATTAATGTACGTGTATGTAACAAACAGGGGGGGCACAGGCTCCAACCATTGGGACAGCAAATAATTAAAGAAGAGTTCTGTTTAATGTTGAAACTCTGTCTCTCCAGCCTTCCTTTGCTGCTCCCTAGTCACTGACCCAAGCCAGCAATCTCTGTGAGCACTAGATTGGTTAGAATAGCAGTCAAGGGGTTAACACTGCCTGCTGGTGTTCAGATCCAAGCGCATCTCACACCCATAAAGACACAGCCCCAGAAATACTCTTGTTGTTGGAGGGCACTGTGCCAGGCCAGGCTGCCATGGGAAAGCCATCTGCTCTGCTCTATGGCATGGAGCTGTGCAGGTTACAGAGGCCAGACAAGCTCCACTGGTGTGAACCAAGGGTGCTGGAATCCCAACTACAAAAGGGTGGACACTCATCTGCGCATGTCTCTAGGCAGTTTCACTGGGGGGTGTCCACAGACTGCTTAGTAGTCCCACATTTGAGGGGCAGTGGAAGCTGACTGGTGTTTCAGCTCAGTCTGAAAACACTCTGGGATTCCTGGTTTACAAATTACTGTACTCCCAGTCCTGTTTTTCCCCCAAAGCATTGAATTGTTATGCAGTTAGTGGTCTCCCTCTATCACTGGGGTGGGGGGTGGGGTGAGGGAGGGGGGCTGTAGTTTCCTGGTGGGCTTAAGGCTACCATGTGTCCGGTCTCAGAATAAACTCTCTCTCTCTCTGTGGCTGGGATGTCAGGAATTGTATTCAATGTGAGAGTTGAGCTGACCAAGACACAGGATTCATTTCTCAGGATAATATGCTCTTTCAAAGTGTATTCCCATTCCCAATGAGAATAAGCCCATTCCATTTTCCTGACTTCCCCAAAGAACAACTTTTTTTGCTAAATCTCTTTCCTTTTAGGTCAATTCCCTCCGACAAAACCAGGGCACTCCGGCTTTGTTTCAACTCTGTGGCATTTCTATTTTATTTTCTCAAAACAAAACTCCATGAAAATCAGTACCTTTGGGCAAAAAACCCTTTCGATTTTAACAAACGGGCCTTTTCCCATAGAAAAAAATGTTCTACCATGAAATCTGCAACTAGCTCTTACCAATAACCCACTGAGTCTGATAGGCTGCATGGGGCTAACATGGGAGATCTCCCTGGAAGCTCCACTTTGCATATATTTTTTGCGGAGATCTCACCTTCCTCTTCCACCTCATGTATTCCCCCTCTCCCCACTCAGCCCCACTTCATCTCAGCAGGCAATTCATGATGACTTGTTGCTGAAACAGAAGCCTGCACAGCTTAGATGCTGACCAGGTTCACGCTGGGACATCTCCCAGCTAATGCAAGTGCTGAATGAACACAGGTGAAAAACTTGTACCAAAGGGCCCAAAGTGATTGCCTCCTGCAGCCCAATGGCAGGAGGTTCCTAATATATATACAGGCCCTCAGCTACCTGCTCATTGCAGCTGTAATCTATTCCTGCCCCCAGGTATCCTCTCTCTGTGCTTTCAATGGAAGAGACCAGTGATTTTCAACTGGGATGCCACAGCACCCTGGGGTGCCATGAGATCCTTTTAAGGGTGCTCTACAATACTGGGTGTCCAAACACCTACACATGATTCACAAGATAAACCCAGACCAGATTTCAAATAGGAATCTTCAGTGTCATAAACACTCTGAGCTGCCGGGCGCTTTCTGAGTTGCCTGCAACAGAAGAGTGGCTCTATTTTTTTTCCAGGAAAGAAATGAGTGAAAGCTACAGTCTGGGATTTTCTGAGAAATACCTTGAGCCTAGTGAGGAATGCCTTGAACCTAAAAAGACTGAGAACCACTGGAATAGACAGGATCTCCCAAGTTGGAGTTACTCCCATCTCTGTGCCTTGAGGAAGATTCACTTTCCATGTCACCAAGTACTGGTCTCTTGTTCTTAAATGTATATTGTATTGTACCTGCAAGGTACCAAAGCCAGATCAGCCCCAGAAGCACAGACTCATAGATTCAGGCTATGTGCGCACTCCAAACTGCTGGGAGACAGGGGTGTGACCCCTTATTGGCACAGCTGTGCCAGCAAAGCCCTGCCTAGAAGCAGTTATACAATGATAATGCTTCAGTGCCCCGGTATGGCTTGCTTTGCTCACTGATGTTTTCACTATATCAGCACAGTTTTGCGGTAGCTGGGTCCACAGTAGGAGTGCTCTGCCCCCACGGTGAACTGATATTCCTGCCCTAGCAAAGTGCCCCGAGGGTAGACACAGCCCTCATCTCCTGTCTCCCACTGGCAAGGACAGAGCTCACAGATAACCACACATTTGCATTCACCATAGATAATCACCCCTGTCTGGATGTACAACTAACCACATGTGCGCACCTAGGGGAAAAGAGCCGGACCCAAGTGCAAACACACAGACTCACAACTAGCCATGCATACAGGCTCACTTCTACCCACAGATGTACACTCACAACTGGCTACAAGCACAGGCTCACAAGGATGTTCCCAAATCTCATGACCACACATATAAGAAGACAGGCTTAGAAGGAACCAGATAGCCCTGTAAGTGTCAATCTGACCAGGCTCTTGTACAGCTCCCCATCATTGCTATGTCTGTATGTCCAATAGCCTCATAGCCAGGTACACATCCATAGATTAAATCAATCTCAAAATCACACACACACATACACTCCCAATAAACACAGATTCACAACTCCCTCCTGTATGTAAGAACTCTGCGTTACACCCAGTTGTAAACCTAAAGACACCCGATCTTCACAAGCACACAAACCTGCCAACCCATATCCATCAATCCAGAGAAGTGACAGACTCTCACTGCTTACATAAACACAAAAACAGACACAGCCATCTTTGCACATCTATCATCTACACACACACAAACAAGGACCCAAGATTCACAATCCTGCTCACAAACAAAGCTGACTTGGAAACACCCCGGGCAATAATGCAGCTTGCTGACATCTCCACTAAAAGCATGTTACTGATAAAGCAATACCAGGACATTATACTGAAGAAGCACAGCTAGTGTGGACCCAGCCTGACCAGCAGGGCTGTGCTCTGTACCAACAGAGTAAGATCTCAATCTCCATAAGCAAACCATGCCATACTGGCAAAGATGTAGATTTGCCAGTATTACTGCCTCTTCTACTAGCTCTGCTGTGCCAGCTGGGGGGCAAAGCCTCCTCACACCCCAGCTCAATGGAGCATGCCAACAACTTCTTCCTGTGTGTTCAGAAACCATCATCTTCTCACCCTGCTGCTCCATGGAACGTGTCCTGAAGGATGTACAGCCAGCCTCCCCGGTCCTTCCTCTGCCCATCGGGTACAGCTTTCCCCTCAGCAGGGTATGCTTTCCCTGCTTTGCTTCTGAATAAAATGCCATCGGGTGCCTGTCAAATCACTGCAGGATGTCTGTATCCAGAGGGGACCAGCTAGCCCCATAGCCCTGGGCTCAGTCAGTCTGTCAGGGATGGCTGCAGCTGTGGGCAAAGGGGAGCATTCTTCACTCCTTCCCTTTCCCAGATCTAATGCCCAGAGCCAGAGCACCAGGAATGGGTGCGAGGTTAAGGAAACAGGAGGCACCAATGCAGGAACAATGAGACCATTGAAAGCTGCCTGTCGCAGGCTGCTCCCTCAGTGCGCAGGGAGGGAGGAGGGGAACTCTTGGCAAAGTCCGCCTGCCTTTTGCTAGGATTTCTCCAGCAGGGTGCTGGGGTTCATAAGCAGGCACACAGTACCGTCTACCCAGCTCTGGCACACCACTTGAGCTCTCTCTAACCCTTTCTCTGATAATGGGTGGATAGAGCCCTAATTGGGATGGAGTCCAGTCCCTGTGACATACCCTAGAAAGGCCATACTGTCTTTTGCCAGGGTCAGGGGTCTCAGCACCTATCCAAGAAAAGAGCAGGGCCAAGTCATGGAGTATCTGCAGTGGTGCTTCTAGGGGCCCCTGCCTCATTTCTGTATGGGCCCAGGTGGGGTTTCCTCTACAGGATGAGAGCACCCTCTGGGTAACAGGGTTGGGGAGGAGGCATGGGCATCAGTGAGAGGGGTAGGGAGGAGAGGGAAATGCACACATGCACCCTCCTGCTCTACCCATACACACCTACACATACCCTCTCCACTTGTATACATACATACATATCACATATAAACACACTCTACAGCTGTCCTCTATACGTCCACACACAAACACACACACTCTCCACCCACACCCTCACATGCATTTTCCACACTCCTCACACACCACCTACAGGTACATCCCCTCACCATGTACACACACTACACATTTCCACACGTGCATACACCCTCCACATGAGCACACACATGCCCTTTACGTGCACAGAGACACACATGTAACACATGCTCTCTATGTGCACAAGCATTGTCTTCACCCAGACATATGCACACACATCACATACAGATCTATACTCCACATATACCTTCTAGATGCACGCCCCCCTCTTTACACACATTTCTACCCATGCACAAATCCATACACCTACACACACTTTCTGCACACACAAAAACAAACAAGCAAACACACATATTGGTCATGCCAGACACACACACACATACACACAGACTACACCATACAGATACATACACATGCACCCTCTCCACACTCCAATCCAATGTATATACAAACACATGCATATACTGGCTACACACACATACACACATACTGGTTACATCATACATACATACATACACACACTGGCTATACATACATACTGGTTACAGCATACACACACTCTGGCTTTCTGCATATATACATGACAATCCACATACATCCACACATAAGCAATCTCTCCACCTATATACATGCCTACACACCACACACACACAAGCACCCTCCTTCTATACAACAGTTGACACATTCCCTCACCACTTACCAAAACTTAACACACACACTTAACAGGAGAGCACTAAGGGAAGAGCTTTGCCCTGCCCAGCAAAGCACAGTCCTGTTATCCCCATGTCCCCTCATGCTCTGCTCCCGGCTTCCCTGGAGTCCTCCACCTGTGGCACTTCCCCAGCCCCACTATGAGGTCTTTTTGCATGCCCCACTGTGCCACTGGGGAGGCAGAGGTTTAAACACAAAAGAAGGTCTGAATGGAGGGCTGGGCATTATCATCTCCTAGGACAGCGTTGTTCAACTTGTGGATCACGACCTAAAAGTGGGTCGCCAGAATATATGAAAGGATTGTGAACAAACTTTAAAAATAGATACTCCTTTAAGAGAAAAACATGGGAAATGGGCTTTTCCCTTGCAGGCTGGCAGTGTTCCAGTCTGCAAGGGGCTGCTGGGGGCCCCCCCACCCCACACCCCCATCTCCTGCCCCACACACTGGCAGGCTGAGGGTAGGGGGCAGCAGGTTGGGAGTGAGGGGCACTGGGTCAGGACTGGCCCTCGTTGTTTACAAACTGGTCATGGTACAAAAAAAGTTGAGAACCACTGTCTTAGGAGGTGTGTTGGTGGCTGGGAGAAGCCATGGGTGGCATCTGTGTACCCTACCTTAGAGCGCTGAGCTTCTCCTGAGTGAGGATGCAGCCTGCCCCAGAGCAGCCCAGCTCCCAGGCTTCACACAACGTTGTTTGTGCTTCGCCGGCCAAATTCTAGCTTGTCCTGGGAAGGTGATGGAGGTGATGGCTCCTGAAAGCCAACCATTGAGAAAGGTGGAGGGCTGGCCCCTGTCCGTCAGAGTAAACCTGTCTCACTGGAGATGGAGGAGCCTTGTGTGACTCTTTCCTTCTGTGTGCTGAGCAAAGAAAGCAAGATGTAATGGGAAATGCTTTCTTCCCTCTCCCTCCCTGGCCCTGCATGAAAGGGATCTGAAGGGATGAAAGGGATCTGTGTGATCCCAACACTGAGTTGGGCGGGAAGGAGAGGAGAGGGAGGTGGCTTCCAGAGCAAACTGGGGAGTGAAGAGGGAGACCTGGGTTGTGACGGAGAAGAGATCGGTGTTGAGGTGCAGCAGCAAAGAAGGGGTAGGGGAGCAGGCTCTGAAAAGGGAAGGAAAGTGTGGAGGGATGGTGTAGAAGTGTGAGAGCAGGAA